TATATGTAGCTATCTCTTTAACCTTTTCCTACAAGCATTTGTTCAAACATCAGTGTCCCCAAGAAGAGCATTGAAGAAGTTGAAAAAGAAAGGGCCTCCAAAGTGGAGGTGGCCTTGGGGTTGTGGGGAGAGGAGATACAGCAGTGCATAGCAAGGTGGTCCTTGGGAACTAAGTGCAGTTGGGAACATAATGCCTCAGCAGACAGGGTGGAAAGACGCCAAAGACCAATACCAATGGAATAAATGAACATTTTAATGACTACAAATCACACCTCACGCTGTGCTTCCATATTCTTGCCTTGAAATATGTATATGTCAGACTGAGGAGAAAGAAAGAGAGGCAAACTTTGACTTTACTGCGTTTATATGAAATTATTAAATTTTCTTCCATCTGTGGGGCTCAATATAAAAATTAAATGCAGTTTAGGAAAAATAATGAAGTTACTTTTTTTTAAATATTGGAATTTAGAACCAGTGGCATTCATAAGCACTAAATAAAAATTAAGTGGAATCATTCCACCTTCCTATGGCCATGGTAGCATCACTAAGCCAGAGCATGCTGCTCCAGGCAGCCACTACAAATTGAATGAGTTTGAGTTGTCACATCAGATAAAACTATTCAGTGTCCACTGTTTGGAGATATAGATGGGCTGTTGTTCAGGTCACAGTACACAAACCTATCTGAGACATTAATGCATATTGAATGGAAATCTCTATAAAAAGTGTTGGTATATTACTCATTTAACACGTGAGAACACTGACACCTAGTTGTTATGTTATGCAATGAATTTTTGGGGACAAAGAAGTTTGATTCCAGACTCTGCCCCCTTGACTGCTGCTCTCCCTACCTCAGTAAGAGGGATCAGTGCCTTGGAGTTACACTAAGCCCCTGTGGTTTAGTCCATATGCCATTCCTGTTAGATTTCCCGTCAACATGATCAGTATAATAACTATACTAAATGCATTAGTATTGTTGCCCTGAGGAGTCCAGTTATATAATACATTAACAAAAGAAAATGTAAGCTGACAGGTGTCTACACATAAGGTCATCTGGGGGGAGGTGCTATTGTATATGGTACTGATTTTTAGTTTTGAATTCCAAATGTTTGTTGCTAGTATATATAAATACAATTGTTTTCGTAATTTGCATATTGACCTTGAATCCTGTGACCTTGTTACACTTGCTTCTTTTATCCAGCAGGTTTTTTTTTGTAGATTCCTTAGGGTTTTCTACATTAGACTATCACGTCATCTGTAAACAGATGCTATTTTCTATTTTTGTTTCAAGTATATATTCCTTTTATTTCTTTTTATTGTCTCTTGTACTGGTTAGGACATCTAGTACCATATTAAATAAGAATGGTGAAAGTAAATGTCTTTGCCTTGTTTCCAATCGTAGGGGGAATACTTAGTCTTTCATTATTTAGTCTCATATTAGGTATAGATTTTTCCTGTATGCTTTTTATCAGATTGAAGAAATGCTCCTCTATTTCTAGCTTGCTGCTATACTTTAAATGTGTTTCCCAAAAGTTAATGTGTTGGAAGCTTAATCCCCAATGCAACAATATTGGGAGGCAGGGTCTAGTAAGAGGTGATTGGGTCATAAGGGCGGAACACTCATGGATGCGTTAATATTGTTATCGCTCGCTTGCCCTTCCTTCTTCTGTCCTTCTGCCATGAGATAATGTAGCCCGAAGGCCCTCGCCAAATATCAGCTTCTTGATATTGGACTTCCCAGCCTCCAGAGCCATGAGCTAAATACATTTCTGTTCATTATAAATTTCCCAGTCTGTGGTATTCTGTTATAACAATACAAAACTAAGACATTTGCTGAGAAGCTTGTTTATTAGGAATATTAAATTTTGTCAAATACTTTTTGGTACCTATTAAGAAAAATATCGGCCAGGCATGGTGGCTCACGACTGTAATCCTAACACTCTGGGAGGCCGAGGCGGGTGGATTGTTTGAGCTCAGGAGCAAGAGCAAGAGCGAGACCCCGTCTCTACTAAAAATAGAAAAGAAATTAGCTGGACAACTAAAAATACACAGAAAAAATTAGCCAGGCATGGTGGCACATGCCTGTAGTCCCAGCTACTCATGAGGCTGAGGTGGAAAGGACCGCTTGAGCCCAGGAGTTTGAGGTTGCTGTGAGATAGGCTGATGCCACGGCACTCTAGCCAGGGCAACAGAGTGAGACTCTGTCTCAAAAAAA